ATGGTCCAGATAAACGCTCCTTCAGATGCTACCGTCAGGTTTTCGAGTTAGGAGGACGTCCAAGAAAGGAAACAAAACTGTTGTTTCTACCTCCAAAGTGGATTTACTGGACGGATGTGCTTAGCTGACAGTATTGAAGAGTGTGCTTACATCGGTTTCTGTTGCAGCAATGACAAAAATGTCATCAACGTAGAGATTGTGGTGTTTAAGCATACTGGTGAGATCGTTTATTTAAAAGTTCTCAAGGTTTTCTATGGACTAAGAGAGGTCCAAGGAGTGATCCCATAGCAGTATCATCTATTCGTTTGCCTATTTAGTACTTAAAAAGGAATTTTACATTGAATGCGCATCTTAGTAATAGTTTCTTTAGTGAATTCATCGGTATCCGCAGTTCCAGTTGACTTGTCAATATAAATTTACACATGTAATCGACTGTTAGCGTAGGCGGATAGTATTGCGGCAAAGACAAGGGAGACTGGAATGGCCATTTCTGTTAATATCCCCGACCTAAACCGGCTAGACAATGAACCCACGGCTCAATGGTTATGGCGTTAGACTCTGACCAGAAAAGATCGCGAGTTCATGGCTCAGGTGGGACACCACTTGGCTCTGGGTATGACTGGCTGACGACGGCTAATAAGCCAGTAATGGCCATTCCGGTCTGCCTCGTCTTTGCCGGAAATAGTATCTGCCTGTACTACCAGCCGCTAAGGCTGTTGGGGCCTCTGTCGAGGCCCAAAGCAAAGTGGGACAGAGCGGTCGGTGAACATTCATCAATGAGTGTAATCAACTGCCTTGGTGCTCGAGTCGTCTACAGGGCGACCAATGGAAGTAGTTGACGCCACTTGGGGGATGGTATCCAATGGCCTATCCTGACTGCAGGATAAAGGAGGAACTTGGGGTGAAACACCGCCTCCCGCAGGGCAACTACCCTAGCTCGGCATGGCTGGCGAGTATTGCCTTATGGACTGCCTCAAGCAGCGGGGCGTTTAGTAACGGTCGCTAGGAACGGCCGAGGCGGTAGTTGTTCGCTAAGCCAATCCAGC